GTTCTGACTCATAGTGACCTTGTATAGGGTTTCTAAGGAGTGGCTGGTGAGTTTGAACTACCAACCTCATAGTTCAAATGACATTTCTGTTCAGTGCTTATTCGACAGTGTCTCTCTACGACTCCAAATTTATATAGATCACTTATTCTGTAGTAGAAGAGAGAGTTTAAGGGGCCCTTGACTATAAATGGGAACAATTAATAAACTCATCTTCATGATTTCAACAATAGGATAAACGGGTAAAATTATTTGAAAGCAAGAAAAATCTATCAGACTTTATTTTGAATACTCTTTAAAATTCTCAACTAAGGGGAAGGCAATACATAAGGAGAAAGGGATGAAAAAATAAGGTAGATAGGGGAACACTGAGACAGGTTTGTGTGGGCTAAATGGGACATAGTTAATAGTGATGTATGCTCAACCTTGGAATAATAGGTCTCTTTATACAGGGATCGAGGCATAGTCTGAAGAGGGAAATAATGTTAAGATACTTGATTGTCTTAAGGATATAATTTTCCCTTGTCTACTATTGTAAAATTGACACCTGAGTGGGATAGACAGGAATGTCAGGAAACATGATTACAAAAAGCTTGTAAGCCTGTCTTCAGTACCAAAAAATGGGGTTCTAGAACTTGCGCAGTGAAATAGGCTTTTGAGGAAACTTTGTAGTTTATGTGGAATCCGGATCTCAATCCAGACACCTCTGAAGTGGAACATTCCCACTTGAAAGGAAAAGCAGACCATCCTGGAACAGTTAGATTGACTGAAGATAATTCTTGAAATAAATACCAGCAGGAAAAAACAAAAATAAAAATGGCAGTCTGATTAGATACTACAAGAACAAGCAAGTTGTTCACTGGGGAGCCATCAAGGCACACAATCAAGTCCCTTCAGGAAAATACCCCCTTTAAGATTGAAACTCAAAGGGAACACATGAGCAGACAGGTAAGCTTGCTGGTGACCACATTGGTCTACTGGTGAGTGGAAAAGGGGTAAAAGCAATGAAGATATGGGCTGAGTTCAACCATGTTCCATAGACTCCTGTTGACCTGGAGATCATAGAGAGAAGAGGAAGGGCTGGTTGGTCCAAACTGTGGTGAGACCTGGGGACTTTTGAGACCATGGACAAGGACATAGCCACAGAGGGCTAGAGCTGAGAGTGAAGTGTCCCCATGAAATGAGGGGATATGCACAAGAACGATCAAACTTGTAGATAATACCCATTTGACCTCACCATGATAATTTGATGATCAGAACTTGAATAGAGGAAGATAATAAACTATTTTTAATAAAGTATACAAGTGTAAATTTCTAGAATTTGATGTATGTGACCTATATTTATGGATGTAGTACCTCAAAATACCAATAGAGAATGGAAGAGACTTCATATCAAGTATCAATCCTTTCCCCTCTATACAGGGATAATAGGGATGGGCAACTTAGACATTGGCTACCTAAAATGAGGGGGCTATAAAGACATGAAGTGACTGGCTTGCAAGTTTTCAAGAGGGAATTTAGTTTCAGAGTGTGTGGGGGAAGGTAGAATCCCCTCTGAATAGTTTTCATCTTGTCTAGACGGGTCTGGTGAAAGGAGATGGGGATACGATTCCTACGATTCAATAGTGAGTGATTGTTATCATGACTAATTGTGATTGTCACAATTGTACAGGTAGACATTTTCTAGCATAAAGGGGGGGGAGTAATTAGTCTTATATTCCAGAAACAAAGGACCCTAGGAACATCAAGGAAAATGAGCAAGAGCAGACTGTGGGATGGAGACAGAGATGAGGACATGGAGAGAGAGCAGTTGAGGACTCTAAATGCATGGAACTAGAAAGGTTGTGTGTTGGTGGCCAGGAAGCAGGCTTGCAGAATGTGTCTTTTGGTGATTTAAATAATTATATATTTCTGAATGTTTTTGTGTACATCCCCCCCAATAACAACAACAATAAAAAAGCAAACAAACAAACAAACAAAAAACCAGGGAATAGAAACAAATATTATTGAATGATGATGCACAGAGGAGGTTATAATCATTACAATAAAATGATGAGTGTAAAACCGATGTTCTACCATGTAAACTATCAGTCAATCCACAATAAAATGTTAAAAGAAAATCTCAATTAAATATAAACCTTTATTAAAGTTACATGCTTTTTTGTGTTACAGCCTATTTTTAATATCACATGAAGAAACCAAGTAATACAATTTTAATAGGCCTTGGTTCAACTCACCAGCCGCTCCTTGGAAACCCTATACAGGGCCATTATATGTTGGAACCTACTTGAAGGCACTTAACAACAGCAACAATGCTTATACTGTGATTTTTACTACAGAATATACACTTTAGAGACCACAATAAAGCAGGAAGAAGCCATGGTGGCAAAGTGGTTAAACACTCAGCTGCTAACCAAAAGGTTCAAAGGTTATCAATTGCTCTGGGAGAAAGATGTAGAAGTCTGTTTCCCTCAAGGTTTACAGCACTGGAAACCCTATGGGTACAGTTCTACTCTGTGCTATAAGATCACTATGAGGGCTTGACTTGATGGCAATACGTTAAAAACTAGAGCAGTAAATAGAAGCTTTCATACAACTTTCAGCCAAAACAACAAAAAGAAAAAAAAAAAAATCCATATTACAAAATCAAAACATATCGAAAACAAAAGTATTTTAAAACACTTGTAGTGTAACACTTATGAATGTGGGTTTGATATACCAAAGAGTAATTGATAAATAAGTGATGAATGGGGAATTTATGACATTGACAACTCTTCTGATACATAAACAAAAATGCAAAAGACATAAAAAAGAAGTAAAATAATTTGACAGTCATTTTGCAACTTTGTACTCAGTGTTCTGTTTGAGAACATTACATCTCACTCTTTTATGTGTAGCAATAGCTCTATAAGTCTGCTGCAACTTAACATAACATTAAAAGCACAGAAAAGGGGAGCATAGTCACTGCTTTCTAATTCTACCTCTACTCTTAAAACTGAAAATTTGGGAAAGCTAACTAATCTCCTTTTGTGTAAATTTTATAGCATACTAATAGTATCTATTTCAAAAGGTTTCTCTGAACAGTAAATTATTTTCTAGCTGGAAATTGTTCAGAATAAATGCTCAAAGTAATAATTAGAAATTATGTTAACTGTCAACATTTATGGCAGTATGTTTAAAACTAATTTACATCAGAAGCAATTTTTATATCAGGTTTTTCTCTTGTGTGTGTGTGTGAAATATAACATTCAACAAAACATGTACAATTGTATATTAGCAAAATATTATAAAACAAACATCTGCTTAACTATTCCCATATTTAAGATAAATAATGTTGCTGTTCTTGTTAAGTGCTGTCAAGTCGGTTCCAACTCATAGTGACCTGGTATAGGACTTCCAAGGAGCTGCTAGTAAGCTTGAACTGCTAACCTTGTGGTTCAAACTGACATTGTAGTGCAGCACATTAACCCACAGTGCCACACCAGGACTCCAGACTATAACAGCTTCCTTTTGTGGAACTATTATGATTCCTTTGCTTTTCATCATACTTCTCCCTCAAGACAATGAACCTGCCTACATCTAAATCTAAAGTTAGATCAATTTTTAAGCAATACAAATTGATTTTTATAGTTTTACGAATGGAATTATACAACATGTGTCCTTTTGTGCCCAGCTTTCTTTGCTCAGTATTATAATTTGAAGATCAATCTTTGTTATCTTCTTTTCACTGCTCCATGTATTGTATTGTATGACCATGCTGCTGTTGTTGTAACGCTTTGTGTGGATTCCAACTTTTAGTCGGCCTGTATGAAAGAGTAGAACTGCTACATGGAGATCCCAGTAATCTGTATGGGATAAGATCATCTCATCTACTGTGGAGCTACAGGTGGTTTTGAATCACAAACCATGAACTTGTTGTGATTCTGGAAGCTATGCCACTGGTCTTTTAAATACCAGCACAGTCACCTTGTTGAAAATCGTATCAATAACAGTGGAACACACTCAGGTAGCACCATAATATTGAATATTGAATCATGATAAAGAATACCAGAATATTGTAAGGTATAGTGCTGAAGGTGAGACTCTCAGGTTGGAAGACACACAAAATACAGCTGGGGAAGAACTGCTGGTGGAGGAGATGTGCTCTGGTTCCAATTCGTAGCGACCCTGTACAAGGTTTCAAAGGTGATGGATGGCACCTAACAGCAACAAAATCTTTACAGGAGCAGAAAGCCTCATCTTCCTACCTCAGAATAGCTTGTAGCTTTGAACTGCAGACCGTGAGGTTCGCAGCCTGATTCATAACCACTACACTACAAGAGCTCCTCATCAAAATAAAGTTGACTGTGATGACACAAATGGAATAAGGCTCTCGTGACCTTCATTTGCTTATGAGGCACAATTCAAAATAAAGAGAAACATCTGTAAACATCCATTAATAATTAGAACATGGAATGTATGAAGGATAAATCTACGAAAATTTAAAGTTGTAAAAAATGAAATTGAACACATAAACATCGATATCCTAGGAATTGTGAGCTGAAATGGAATGGTATTGGTATTTTTGAATCTGACAATCATATGATTTACTGTTCTGGAAATTACAAACTGAAGAGGAATGGTACATTCATCATCAAAATGAACATTTAAATATCTGTCTTGCTGTACAGCACTGTCTGTGATAGGATAATATCCATATACCTACAAAGAAGACCAGTTAATGCAGTTATTATTCAAATTTATGTACCAACCACTAAAGGCAGTGATGATGAAAATGAATAATACTACCAACATCTTCAGTCTGAAATTGATCAAACATACAATCAAGATGCATTGATAATTACTAGAACTGGAATGCAAAGGTTGGAAGCAAAGGAAGATCAGTATTTGGAAAATATGGCCTTGGTGATAGAATCTATGTTGGAGATCATATGATAGAATTTTGCAAGACCAATGACTTACTTCTTTATTGCAAATACCCTTTTTAAACAACATAAAAGATGACAATACACATGGACCACACCAAATGGAATGCACAGGAATCAAATTGACTAAATCTGTGGAAAGAAGGCATGGAAAAGCTCCATATCATCAGACTAAACAAGACTAAGAACAGACTGTGGAACAGACCATCAACTGCTCATATTTAAGTTCATACTGAAGCTGAAGAAAATGAAAACAAGTCCACAAGAGCCAAAATATGACCTTGAGCATACCCCACCTGAATTCACAGATAATCTCAAGAAAATATATTGATGCATTAGATACTAATGTTTGAAGACCAGAAGACTTATGGAGTGACATCAAGAACATCATACCAAAATGGAGGACAGAAGAGACTCTGAAACTTCTGTAAAGCAAATTAAAGAAATGAGGAGGTAAAAGAGATAAAGAGAATATTTCAGTGGGCAGCTGGAGAATGCAAAGTGAAGTATAATGAAATGTGCAAAAGGGAAGAACACGCTCAGTATTTTTCAAGCTGAGAGATCTGAAGAAAAAAATTCAAGTCTCACCTTGTAATATTGAAGGAGTCTATGGGCAAAATATTGAATGAAGCAGAAAACATCAAAAGAAGATGGAAGTAGTATATATAGTCTCCATACCAAAAAATGATCGGTGTTCAACCATTTCAATAGGTTAGCATATGATCAAGAGTCAATGACACTAAAGGAAGAAGTCCAAGTTTCACTGAAGGCTTTGGCAAAGAACAAGACTCCAAGAATTGATGTAATACAAATTGAAATCTTTCAAGAAAGTGAGGCGGCACTGTAGGCATTCACTCATCTATGCCAAGAAATTTGAAGACCTACCTGGTCAGCTGATTGGAAGAGATCCATATTTGTGCCCACTCCAAAAAGAGGTGACCCAACTATATCTTTAATATCATATGCAAGTAAAATTCTGTTGAAGATCATTCAGAAATGGCTGCCACACAGTACATTGACAGAGAACTGCCAGAGTTTCAAGCTGGATTCAAACAAGGATGTGCAATGAGGGATACCATTGTTGATGTCAGATGGATATTGGCTGAAAGCAAAGAATAGTTGCCTGTTCATTACTGACTATGTAAAGGCTTTCAACTGTATGTATCATGACAAGCTACAGACAACATAGGGGAGAATGAGTATTCCAGAATACTTAATTGTTTTCATTAGGAACCTGTACATAGACAAGAAGCAATTGTTTGAACAGAAGAAGAAGACATTGAATTGTTTAAAAGCACAAAAGGTGTGTGCCAGGGTGGTATTATTTCACCATACTTACTCTGAGAATTTTGATTATGAAAAGAAGAATGTAGTGTAAGGATTGAAGGAAGACTCATTATCAACATGCGATATGCGGATGATATAACCTTGCTTGCGATAGAAAAGAGGACTTAAAATACTTACTGATGAGGATGAAAGACAGACTTTGGTATGAATTGCACCTCAGTGTAAAGAAAACAAAAATCCTCATCACAGGACCAAAAAAATAACATCATGATAAATGGAGACAAGATTGAAGTTCCTAAGGACATCAACACTCATAGAAGCAGCAGTCAGGAAATCAAGCACCATATTGCATTATGCAAATCTGCTGAACAAAATCCCTCTAAAGTGTTCAAGAGCAAAGATGTCAGTTTGGGGACAAGGTGTGCTTGACCCAACCACTGTATTTTTTGTAGTCTTATATGCATGTGAAAGTTGGACAATGAATAATAACAAAGATTGTAGAAAAACTAATGCATTTGAGTTATGATGTTGAAGGACAATATTAAAAGTACCATGGACTGCCAGGCAAACAAACAAGTCTGAGTTGGAAAAAAAGTACAACCAGAGTGCTCCTTAGAAGCCAGGTTGGCCAGACTTCATATTATCAGGAGGGTCAGCAAAAAAAGAAGATCCCCAACAAGACAGATTGGCACAGTGGTAGCAGCACAGGCAACAAGCATAGCAGTGATTGTGTGATTGGAGCAGGACCGGATAGTGTTTTTTCTATTGTGTATGAGGTAGCTATGAGTCAGAACCTACTTGAAGGCACCATCTATATTGTTAGGGAATTACTCTTTTTTGCTGACCCTCTACTTCACCAAGCAAGATGTCCTTTTCCAGGGAATGGTCTTGCTAGTAATATGAAGTCTTAATCCACTTGATGGCACCTAACAACATATATGAAGAAGAACTAGTGTGGTACTGTGGATGCATGTGCTATACTGGAATACCTGCTTGAACCACAAGGTTGGCAGTCCAAGCTCACCAGCCACTCCTCAGAAATGCTACACAGTGTATCTATGAGTCAGAACCAACTAGATGGCAATCAACAACAACAACAACCTATATATGTATTTGAAATTAAGAAATATACTTCTAAGTAACCATGAGGCAAAAAAAAGCCATGATAGAAATTACAATTTATTTTGAACTGAATGACAAAAATAATATAACATATGAAATATAATTAAAATAGCATTTTAAGCTATTATATATATAAAATATATATATTGGAAATAAGTAACATTAATGTTCCTAACTACATGGCATTTTCATATATGTGCAGCCGTTTTCTTTTGTTTCTTGTTCCTTTCTCTGAATTTGCTTGTTGTTTGTATTTTCCTTTTTGATTCCTGCCTGGTGGTATTGATCAAACCAAAGCTAGCTAGAAGTAGGAGGCTTTTGTTATCATCAAGCTAATTTTTACTTAGCAGTTAATTAAATCAAATTTTAGCATCAATGTACCTGGTGGTAGGTATGTAGGAAAACATCTGTCTTAAAAGATGGTTGGTTTGGGGATAAGAGTTCTCTGGCTAAAAGAAAAAGTCTACTACTCCATAAATATCAGCCAATGATATAGTTTCTAACATGTTTTTTTTCTCAGCCACTACTTCTTAATATAAGAAATTTACCTATTTTTCCAATTTACAACTCCTTTTACAACTATCTTTTGCCATCAGTATAAAGTGTTTATTCATTTCAAAAACTATATTAATATCTATTTTAACAATATTAGTATGCATGCCAGCTCTATTTAACTATTAAGTTTATATAATACAATGTTAAAAATACTATCTAGTTAGTATACTGGAAAATTACATACCTCATCAAATATGACATATCTAATCCTTTTCACCCAATTTTGCTGATGAGGCGATAGCAAGAGTATTTCTAAACACTGAGGTACTGTGACCAGTATCTGTCAGAAAACATTAGAGAACCGTTATTGGTGATTTTAAAATAAAGCTTAGTTTTACTTTTAGGCCTTAATAAGAAATAATAGCTGACATTGTATCTATAATGATTTGTTCACGTTCTATCAACAATTCCACATACATAAAAGTAAAATGAATTTGTGTGAAAAAGCCTTGAGGTAGTTGAAGTTGACACATTCAAAAGGAATTAAACATAATTCATTTAAAAATATTTTCCCACACAGTACACTGGGAATACAAAACCATCACAAATTGAAATAATCCATGTTATAATAACCTGTTTATTAATGTTGAAACTTCAGAAAAAGAAAGCATTCTTTTTTAACAGAAAATGAAACTGTTTGAAAATTAATCAACGTATTAAATGAGAAAAATCTTATAAACAACTCATTTAACTATATGCATGAATATATTCATCAGGTTAATTTTAAATTGAACTTATCACAATGAAACCTTGAAATGCTTAACTGAAGTGCAATAACATAAATAAATACAATACATTTCTATATTTATACATGCTGCTCTGCTGGCGTGGAGTAGATTTAGACTCATAGCAACCTTGTGTAGAATTTCTAAGGCTGTAAATCTTTATGGGAACAGAAAGCCTCATCTTTCTCCTACAGAGAAGCTGGTGGATTTGAACTGTAGACCTTGAGATTAGCAGCCCAGTGCACAACTCACTACTCTACAAGGGCTCCTTTTTGCACACAGCTTTTGTTAGCTGTCTGTGAATTGGTTCCTGTCTAGTAGCAACTCCATGCAAAATGGTATCGTTGTTATCCACAGGGTTTTTACTGATTGATTTTCAGAAACCACTAGGCCTTTCTTAAACTGGAAGTACTGAAGAAATCTGTTAAGTGTCATACCAATACACAAACCCCCATTAATAGGCAAGTGGTGGCTGCATTTGAGGAGGGATCAAAATCTGGTCTTACTCATGGAACGTGAAGATTCTACCATCAAACAACCATCATTCATATATATATATATACATATATACAGCATTGTACACACACTCACACACACACACACATATATATACATATATTCAGCATTATTAACTATGTGTGCATGTGTGTGACATACCCGGCAATTAAAGGTGTCATGACGGTAATCTCTTGTAAAAACTCCACATACCGCTAACCCTTTTGGCAATGCTTTGTTAAATAAATTGCAGACAGTCCCCACCACTTGATTAACAAGTGCCTTAAGACATAAAAGACATAATAAACTGTTATTCCGTAATTGTTGACAATTTATTAGAACTTATGTAAAGTAGACCATCTGGAACAGTTTACATATAAAGAAAACTTCGTACCAGTTCTATATAGCTTCCTTTAAATAAAATAATCATTGTTTATGAAATGTTCCCAACTAGTTCTATTTTAAAATGTAATATAATATATAATGTAGTGCACACAGAGTATACTGGTTTTACATTTAGAAAACAAATCAGAGGAAAAATGTATGCTACAACAACAAGATAGAGAATTGGTATGGGTAAAATTAGATAATGTTTGGATTATACTAAAATACTTAATTGCAAAACTGATTTGGTATTCATATTTCTGAATTTTATTATCCTCATTTTCTTCATATATAAACTGAGACGACTGGATCTTATGATAGAGATGTTCCCTTCCAACACTAACATTCTTACTCTTTCCTCCTTTCAGCACATCTCTAAGACTAGCAATTAAGTATACTTCTACAGCTAGTTGTTGTTGGTAAGCACAGTTGAGTTGTTCCTGACTCATGGTGACCCTGTAGAGCATTTCCAAAGAATGGCTGATAGGTTTGAACTGCTAACATTGTGGTTAACAGTCCAGTGCTTATCCTACAACACCACACCAAGGACTCCTCTACAGTTAGTAGGCCATTACAAAACTAGAGACTTCTGTCTAAATACAGAAATGGTAAACTTGAATACAATTGCTGTATTTCCCTCAGATGAACCTGTCCATATTATGTTTTAAGCCATTTAGCCATTTAAATATCTTAATGCTTTTCTTTACCAGATTTCTCAAACTTTTTCATTTAATTTCAATTACATATGAGATAATTCGTATTCACAGTTCTTCTGTTCTTGAGTACAGTTTCTTGTGGAAATCACCAGTTTCTGATTTTTGCGTCATTTTAAGCACAGAGTTTAATTTATATGAAGGGTTGAGTGTTGGCATAAATAAAAAAATAACTGGCAATTGTACCACTTATTGATCATCTTTCATATTTAGTTTGTAGATGAAGAAACTAAGGCAAGAAACTACGCCAACTCCAGCCAGTGTACAAGCCCTCACACCCTGTGTTACATTGGAACCTGTACACTGTGGTTGTTGTTGTTAAGTACCGTGTAGAAAGTCCCGACTCATAGTGACCCTGCACAGGGTTTCAGAGGCTGTAAATCTTTACGGAAGCAGAAAGCCTCATGTTTCTTCCATGGAACAGCTGGTAGTTTCGAACTGCCAACTTTGAGGTTAGCAGCCTGATTCGTAATCACTACGCTACCAGATCTCCTTTATGATTTAGGACACATAACTACAGTTGAGAAAACTTACTATAGGATGGATATATAACATCACATGGATAAAATACCTTTGTTGGAGCAACATATACAACCACACCTTCATTACTCTCTCTCAGTATTTTCTCCATGCAGTAATAAGAAGCATAGGTTTTTCCTGATGAAGTTGGAGCAACAATAACAGCAGATTCATTATTATCTACAACATCAAGAAGTTCCCTCTAAATGAGAAAAAAACACACACACTTAATATTGAAAACATATGTTTAATGTCAAATTTTAACTTAATTACAATTATATCTAAAACTGATTAGTATTCACAGTTCTTCTGTCCTTGAACCACACTTATGTTCAGATGTACAGTTTCTTGTGGGAATCACCAGTTTCTGAATTTTGTGAATATATCAACTCACAACCAAATTTCTCCCATAATGCTCTTCACTTAAGTTAACTTTTTAAAAAACCCAAATAAATTATACACACCTGCAAGGGTTCTGCCCAGGTTATCTTGCAGCAGAGCTCACTGAAAATTTTTTCAACCAGAACTGGGGAATCTTAAGCTAAATTTAGAATTACAAAAACAATGTGTTGTCCTTTGTCTCTCCATTTTTTTGTCCATTAATTATGAATCAGAAAAGTGTCATTAAAAAAATAAATAAACAATAAATGTTGTTGGGTGTTGTTGCATTAACTTCAACTTGAGACAGATTAGAATTGCCACATAGTGCTTTCTAGTCTGTAATCTTTATGGAAACCGATCAGCATGTCTTTCTCCCATGGGGCCACTGGGTGGATTTGAACAAACTTTTGATTAGAAGTCAAAGCTTGCTTAACTGTTCTGCCAGCAGGGTTCTTTCACAGTATGATGATGTTGTTGTTAGGTTCCTTCATGTCAGTTTCAATTCATGGCAATCTTATGCACAACAAACGGAAATGTTAGCCGTTCCTGCACCATCCTCAAAATCTTTACTAAGCTTAAACTTTATCCTGTTGCTACTGTCCAATTTTTGGGTCTTCCTTTTTTTGAAGACCTCTCACTTTAGCAAATATGATGTCTGTCTTCAGGCACTGGTACCTCATGATAGCATATTCAAAGTATAAGACAAACTCTCCTCATCTTGGCTTGTCAGGAGCATTCTGGCTGTACTTCTTCCTACACAGGTTGGATTCCACTTTCAGTGGTCCATGGTACTTTTAAGATGCTCTCTAACACCATAATACAAATGCATCAATTCTTCTTTGGTCTTTTTTATTCACTGTACAACTATTACATGCATGTAAGGTCACTGAAAATACCATGGCTTGGCCTTAGTCCTCAAACTGACATCTTTGCTCTTGAACACTTTAAAGAGGTCGTGTGAAGCAAATTTGACAAAAGCAATACATTGTTTGATTTCTTGATAGCTGATTCCATGAGTGTTAACAGTAGACTGAAGCAAAATGAAGTTTTTGACAACTTCAGTCTTTCCTCTATTTATCTTAATGTTGTTTCTTGGTCTAGGACTTTTGTTTTGTTTACATTGAGGTGTAAACCATACCAAAGGCTATGGTCTTTGATCTTCATAAGTTAGTATTTTAAATCTTCACTGTCATCAAGGAAGGTTATATCATATGCATATTACAGGTTGTTAACGAGTCTTTCTCCAATCTTGATGCCACATTCCTCTTCGTATATTCTACCTTCTTGGATTTTTTGCTCAGCATACAGATTGAATAAATATGGTGGAAGAATACAACTTTGGTGCACAACTTTCGAATTTTTCATTCAGTGTCCCCTTGTTTTGTTAGAATGACTGCCTTTTGGTCTATGTACAAGTTCCTCAGGAGTACAATGAAGTGTTCTGGAATACTCATTCCCCACAATGTTGTCTATAGTTTGTCATGATCTACAAAGTCTGCATTGTCAGCAACGTACAGGCAAACTTCTTTCCTCTATTCTCTGCTTTCAGCCAAGATCAATCCCTAGCTTGACGTCTTCATCTGTAACCATTTTGAAAGTCTGGAAGGTCCCTGTCACTGTACTGTTGCAGTCATTTGTAAATTATCTTTAGCAAAATATTACTGGCATGTGATATTAATGATACTGCAATGATTTCTTCATTCCATTGTGTCACCTTTCTTTGAAATAGGCACAAATGTGGAACTCTCCCAATCAGTTGGCCAGGTATTTGTCTTCCAAATTTCTAGGCAGAGATGAGTGAGTGCCTCCTGTGCTGCAACAATTTGTGGAATGATTTCAATTTGTACTCTATCAGTTCTTTGCCAGCGTCTTCAGGGCACCTTAGACCTCTTCTTTCAGTATCACTGACTCTTGAATATATATCATCTCTTGAAAATCTGAACAACATCCATTTCTTTTTTGTAGTGACTGTGTGTATTCCTTCCATCTTCTTTTGATGCTCTCTGCATCATTCAATATTCTTCCCATAGAATTCTTCAATATTTCAAGTTGAGGCTAGGATTATTTTCTTCAGTTCTTTCAGTTTGAGAAATGCTGAGCATAGTCTTCCCTTTTGCTATTCTAACTCCAGGTCTTTGAACATTTCTTTGTAATACTTCACTTTGTCTTCTCAAATTGCTGTTTGAAATTTTCTATTCAGCTCTTTTACTTCCCCATTTGTTCCATTTGCTTTAACATCTGTATGCTGGAGAGCAAGTTTGAGAGTCTTTTCTGACATCCATTTTGGTCTTTCTCTTTTTGTCTTCTTAATGACCTTTTAGGAAGCTCTGGTAGCATAGTGGTTATGAATCGGGCTGCTAACCTCAGGGACAGCAGTTCGAAACTACCAGCTGTTCCGTGGGAGAAAGATGAGGATTTCTACTCCCATAAAGACTTACAGCTTCAGAAACCTTACGCAGGGTCACTATGAGTCAGAACCGACTCCAAGGCACATAATAACAATAATGACCTTTTGAATTCTTCCTCTACAATTTTTGATGTCATCTCAGAACTGTTCTGGTCTTCGGTCATTAGTGTCTAATGCATCTAATATGTTCTTAAGATTATCTTTAAATTCAGGTGTGATATGTTCAAGTTCAAATTTTGGCTGTCATGGACTTGTCTTCATTTTCTTCAACTTCAGTGTGAACCTGCATATGAACAATTGGTAGTCAGTCCCACAGTCTGTCTCTGGCCTTTTTTGGGCTGTTGATATGGAACTCGTCCACAGTCTCTTCCCACAGATGCAGTCAATTTGATTTCTGTATATGCTGTCTGGTGAGGTCCGTGTGTATAATTGTCTTTTACATTGTTTAAAAAACATATTTGAAATGAAAAAGTCATTGTTCTTGCAAAATTATATTGTATGATCTCCAGCATCATTTCTTTTACCAAGACCATATTTTACAACTAGTGATCCTTCCTCTTTTTTCCAACTTTTGCATTTCAATCACTAGTAACTATCAATTCTTCTTCATTGTGTATTTGATCTATTTTAATCTGAAGAAGTTTATAGAATTCCTCAATTTCATCATCACTGACATTAATTCCAATTACAAGTAACTATCAATACTTCTTCATTACATGTTTGATCAATTTCAGAGTGAAAATGTTTATAGAATTCCTCAATTTTATCATCCTGACTCTAGAGGTTGGCGTATAAATTTGAATAATAATGGTATTAGCTGTTCTTCCTTGGTATTATCCTTTCACAGACAGCATTATAAATCAAGATAGATCTTGAAATGTTCTCTTTGATGGATGGTGAATGCAACTTGTCATTCCCAGCATAGTAATCTATATGTTTATCAGATTCAAAATGGCCAATACCAGCCCATTTCAGCTCACTATTGCCTAAGGTCGCTGTTTTTATGCATTCCATTTCATTTTTGACAACTTCCAATTTTCCTAGATTCATACTTCTTACATTCCATGTGTTGATTGTTAATGAATGTTTATACCTGTTTCTGCTCATTTTGAATTGTGCCCTACCAGCATAAGGTCCTGAAAGTGCATTCCATTCACGTCATCAAGGTCAACTCTACTTTGATCTTGCTCCCCAGTCATATTTTCAGTGTCTTCCAACTTGAGTGGGTCATCTGAAATATTGTAGTGGCAAAAGTATTCTAATTACAGCTAGATTGCCTCATTTTTAAATGAAAATCTATAACTTTATGGAATATATATATATATATATATATATATATATATATCAGTTTATTCTTTGCTGGATTCTTTTATCTGTTAGGTAAAGGTATGATTTACTTTGATTATTATTATCTTGCATTCTAAAATAATTTACATTCTACATTTAGTTCCACAGAATGAGGTCCCAATCAGCTGCTTCCATCTATGTTCTTTGCGTCTACTATGTACATATCTTTTAGATAAATACCTGCCATTCGTCTGGTATGAAATGCTGCACCCTGGGGTCAGGATCAGTTCGTTCTTCTCGAAGTAAATATGGGCCCATGTGTGTTAACTGAAACCGAGCTGCTCCCATGCAAACTGAATATTTAGAAATATCCTTTTCAGTATTTAGCATCTTCACCTAAAATAAGCATTATATATTATGATTTCAAATAATTTTATGATTTTAAACATGAACATAGAAAATTTACTAACAGTCATACTTATTTGTTTTATTTCAACAATATTATTATTTCATGTTCCTTTCAATATGTTACAAATCTCAAGTAAGCTTTATCACACAATTCAGAAATATAAAGAAAAATGTTCACTCTTTTGACAAACACATGGAACTTAAATAGACACTGAATTTTCATGATAATTAGAAAAATGCTTCTTTATGTGGCAAAAGCATATATTTTAAGCATATTTTATGCTTAAATAAAATATATAAAATTATTGTTTAATTACAAATGTGTATATTCTTGATCATTGCCCAAATGAAAATTGTGTTTCAATTAAAGAACTCATACTAATCTTCAAAGAGTGTCTTTGGTAAAGGAAATTTTCTTATACAGACTCATGTAATTAATGTAATTATCTTGCAATTAAATTATTTTATGCAAAGTATAAAATGCATGGCAAAAATTACTACTATTAAGAAGGCTATCATCACAAGAAATTCACGTTTGTCATAACCTCTGTTCATGAAAGTTTGATAACTCTTGAATATGGCAATGTTAGCAGAGCATGGGAAATAATTTATCAACCACCACCAAAGCTGAGTATCAACCATGAAACATGTTTTGACATACTGATGGCTAGAAGCAGGAACAACTTCTATTTAGACAAAAGGCTACGAGATGAGACTGCCGTTTGAGAAAGTACATAATTCAAAATTAAGCTCAATATTAAGCTGTTAGAGGAAAAAATAAAACAAATCAACACAATAGTATCCCCAGTGCCTAAAACAGTCCCTGGTACATGCTGAATGCTCAATAAATATTTGTTGAAAAAGTATAGGAAGTAATTTTACAAAGGTTTCAAGGCAGTCAACTATAAAATACTTGGACATGCTTTTGTTGTTGTTGTTAAGTACCGTCGAGAAGGTTCCAACCCACACCAACCCTGTCTAGGGTTTCCAAGGAGTGGCTAGTGAACTTGAAGCACTGACCTTGTGGGTCAAACTGATTTTGCAGTCTAGTGCATTAACCCACAGGGACATACCAGGACATGGCTACAATCATATATAAAGAAAATATTTATTCTATGTGTAAAGAACAATGCATTCTTGGTACTTCTGAAACAATAATAGCTCTGTACCTATCCACAGTAATATGTGGTTACCCATTAAGTAATGATCAAATCTAATAAATGTATTTATTCTAAATGCATTAATAAAATCCTTTATACAAACATATGCACACACAAATGAATGCTGTATGATAGGTTCAATAATATTTACCTGAGGACATAATGAGTAAGCCAAGTTGTCAAATCCAATATATTTTAAGTATTTGGCTAACTTTTGTCGATGTGCATTTTGTAATAGTTCTAAGTATTTACCATAGATTATGTGAATTCTTTTCATCATCTGAATTATTATGTTTATATCTTTAGCATCTATATCTGTTGAAATAAAACATTTGTGTCTATAACTTAAGTCAGACCATATATTGATAACAAAATGCTAAAATCTTACTTAGTTTTATAACATGAAAAATACTTATTTATATGAATCACCCACAAAAATCAAGACACTCACAACTATCAGTATTGCAGACCAATTAAGGGTGTGGACTCAGGAGTTAAACTACAGTTGATATCTTAACAAATGAAAATAGGTGGTGCTCAGCTTGGGGAAAATATTGGATGGCATATATGTTTACTAAATTAAAAAAAGAAAACATTTTCTGAAAATCGAATTTAACTTACCCATGTTTCATTTAAACACTTGGAAAGCTTACCTTTCTAAGTTTTATTTTCTTTATATGTATAATTGGGTTACTAATAATAGGTCTTATATAAAATATAATCTATATATAAATAAAAATGTATATAGCTATATCTACAAATAATGAACAAAATAATCTATGTCAAATGATTAAAATAATGACAATAGCTATTATAATCATTGTTAGGGGCCACTGAGTTAGTTCTGATTACCAGTGACCAACAGAATGTAACAAAAATTTAGTCTGTACAGAATTAAGTTCTTTTTAAGAAGACGGTCATTTCATATTTTGCTTTTAATAATTACTTTCCTCTGACCAATTAAGGAATAAATACATTTCATCTTCTCTATAATCAAATATGTTTGTTCTCTGGCCCTCATCCACAAAACTGTATTTATATCTCAAATTATTATTACATGTGCTCTAGTGCAAAAGTGGTATATACAGTAACATTTTCATTGCTGTTTCACAGACATTTTAAACAGTTAATTCTCTTTCATGTAATATCATTGGGTGAAAAAAAATCTACTTCAAAGAATTGTGAGTATTTAATGATAGGTATGGTGTCCTGGTGTGCTCTGTGGGATAATGCACTGTACCACAGTTTGAAATGCAAGGTTAGAGGTTCAAATTCACCAGCCGCTCTTCAGAAATCCTATTCAGGGTCCCTATGACTCCGAACCAATTCAAAGGCATTTAACACCAACTATATAATTCATATTTTTTTAATAAATGAAATATATATATTTCTTAGAATATAGCAAATGATTAATGAGCAAATGATCATTAAATATTCACCAGTTTTGTTGTTGTTGTTTTGGTTGTGTTATTATATTATGGTGCATGTAGAGTGATATATAAGTTGATCCTGTGCCCAATATCACCAAGATTCTGAGAAGCAGGAACTTTGCTCTTCTGTTCAGATGTACCTTAAGCAACCCATCCTGGTAATCAACTCATGACTGGCTTTGAAGAACTATTTACTGAGCTGAATTTTGGACAAATATCTACCACACACTAGAACTGTGATGATAAGAATGGATCAAACAAAATAATAGCCCCTATTCTTTAGACATTGAAAGTAGTTCTCAAAATTAGTACATGATAGAAGAATCTGAATATGTGGTCAATGTTATTACTTTTGCTTGGCTTCATTTTTGCTACTTGTCATCAAGCTAAATCCAACTCACACTGGCCTCGTGTAGAATTGTAGAATTGTACCAGAGTAGAATTGTACCAGAGGATTTCATAAAGTCCTAATTCCAGAATCCTTCTAGATGTGTTTGAATCACCAAACTTTAGTTTGTGGTCCAACACTTAACTAATTGTGCCACCCATGGACGTCTTTGATCTGTCCTCACAAACCTAACATTGAAAAGAGTTCTAAAATTCATATATGTATATACCTGAATTTAGACAGCATTCCATCCATGATTTGAAACAAGCCTCCAATCCTACCATCTCAGCCATAAATTTTACAGATTTCACAGGGCATGTTTGGAGAAAATCTTCTAGTTTCTTCATGCCAGAACTAGGATTTCCTTTAATTTCCTTTGCAATAGACAGAGACAAGTTATTCCATCTTTCTTCCTCTCTTTTTTCTAGTTGAGCTAGCTGTCTCTTTTGATTTTCTTCAATAATTTTTTCTGTATTACTCTTCTAGAAAACAAAGAAACAGAAATTAAAATCTAATAAGCAACACAAGCAACTTTTTTCAAGATAATGCATTTGATATTTTCTAAAGAAGCATTTAACGTCTCAGGCCATTAGTGTAATTTGCCATTTCCTTTCTATGTTTTTTCAGTTACTATCTTTTAATCCATTGTGCAGAAAGCTAGTGTTCCTTCATTCCAGATCTGTGGAGTTTATGCTAAAAAGATGCAATTCAGATTAATGTCCAACTAGTCCTGTACCATGCACACAATTTTTGCTATGTTAGAGTCAATTGTTGCAACCACTGTGTCAATCCATCTTGTTGAACATCTTCCTTTTTTCCAATGATCCTCTGCTTTACCAAGTATGATGTCCTTCTCCAGGGAATGGTTGATGAAAACTTTGTTTCATATATATTAGCCATGTCATCAGGAGGGAGCATTCTGGCTGGACTTCTTCTGGAAGTCCATGCTATAGTCAATATTTTCCACTAATATCATAATTCAGAGGAATCAGTTCTTAAGTTTCCCTTATTCAATGCCAAACTTCTGCATGCATATGAGGCAAATGAAGATATTACAGAATTGGATAGGCTCACATAAGTTCTTAAGGAGATATGCTGCTTTTTAAGACTTTAAATAGTCCCTTTGCATCAGATTTTCTAAATGCAATATGTCATTTGATTTCTTGACTACTATTTCTATAGGCACTGATTGTAGATCAAATAAAAAGAAATCCTTAACAACACCTATATTTTTTCTACTTATCATGATATTTCTCCATTTCCCTATCAGTTATACTGGGGTGGCTTGTGTGTTGCTGTCATGCTAGGATATATGATGTAAGAATTTCAAATACCAGAAGCATCACCCATGTGGTAAGATTGCAGTGGAGCTACCAAACTAAGATTGACTGGGAAAGAAAGGTCCTGAAAATCTACTTTTAAAAATAATTGCAGATCTAGTATTGGAGGCAGGGCTTGAAGGTTGATAGGGTAGAAGTGCAGTGAGGATCTCCGGCAGCAATAACACAGAATACCAGATGAAGCAGGTTCAGGGGACAGTTCCAGAATGACAGCAATTAATCCAAACCTATCTATAATTACACAGCATGTAAACAGATTAAATGCACCAGTTAAAACACGGAGAGTGGCAGAATGGCTTAGAAAACAAGACCCTTCAATATTCTGTCTGAAAGAGACATACCTTATACACAAAGACAAAAACAGACTAAAAGTTAAAGGACGGAAAAAAATATATCAAGCAAATTGCAATAAAAAATTAGCATGAATTGCAATACTAATCTCTGATAAACATGGAGAGATGGAGTGGCTGGTGACTCTAGACCCAGAAAGGGAGAGGGGCTGTGTGCTAACAACCAGGGGGCAGTTGATGATGCATGAAGGGGATAGTAACCATGGCAATGAAATGATACACGATAGGATGATTGTAAAGCTAATGTTCTCCCACATAAACTATCACATAATTCACCATATAGCATTAAAAAAACAAAATGAAATTGAAGAACATATTGCATTAGGCAAATCTGTTGCAAAAGATCTCTTTAAAGTATTAAAAAAAATCACAGATGCTATCTTGAAGACTAAGGGTATAAGATCTAAACTGTGATATTTTCAATTGGAGGAAGATTCATTAGCAACCTATGCTATGCAGATGACATAACCTTGCTTTCAAACATGGAGATGAGTTGAATACTTACTGATAAAGGTCAAAGATGATATAAAGACTTCAGAAGGGTTATACATGAACCCTTTCATGACTGAATCATCTCGCCTTGTTTTTTATGCGTTGGGTAATGGATGCCATTTTGAATGAAATTAAAAAAAGTTTTTTGAGGTTTTGGATTTTGTTACAATTAATGGGACAAATGTTTTGAGAAGTCTAGGAGATAAGGCAATTCCTTCAGATTTATGCAGGAGTATACACCCCCACAGGATGGCAGCATGCAAAACTGAGATTGTTATTGTTAAGTGCTGTCAAGTCATTTTTAACTGATCGCAAACCTGTATAGAGTTTCCAGGAGGGGCTGGTGGGTTTGAACTACCAACCTTGTGGCTCGACCCTACCTTTTGTTACAGTGCTTTATCCTACAGTGACACTACAGGATTCCAAAACTGGAATAACAGCTCACTACAAAGCCTTCCCACCATCCGTCTGTCAGTTTGTCATACTGTGGTGGCTTGTGAGTTGCTGTGATTCTGGAAGGTATGGCACCGGTATATTAAATACCAGCAGGGTCACCCACTGTGGACAGGTTCCAGATGAACTTCCAGATGAAAACAGGCTAGGAAGAAGGAGTGATGAACTACTTCCAAATATTTAGTCACTGAAAACCTTATGAATAGCAGAGAAACTGTCAGATATAGTGCTGGAAAATGAGCCCCTCAGGTTGGAAGGAACTCAAAATGCGACTGGAGAAGAGCTGCCTCATCAAAGTAGAGTTGACCGTGATGACATGATTAGAGTAAACCCGCAGGAGTAAAGCCTTCAGGACCTTCATTTGCTGATGGGGCACAACTCAAAACCAAGAGAAACAGCTGTAAACATCCATTAATAATCGGAACATAAATTGCATGAAGTATGAATCTAGGAAAATTGGAAATTGTCAAAAATGAAATGGAATGCATAAACATGAATATCTTAGGCATTAGTGAGTTTAAATGGACTGGTATTGGCAATATTGAATCTGAAAACCACATGGTTTACTATGCTGGGAATGACAAATTGAAGAGGAATGGTATTGCATTCATCTTTAAAAGAACATATCAAGATCAGTCATGCAGTATAATGCTGTCTGTGATAGGATAGTATCCATATGCTTACAGGGAAGACCAGTTAAAATCTCTATTATTCAAATTTATGCGCCAACCACTAAAGCTAGTGAGGATGAAATAGAAGAATGAATAGATTGGGAAAAAAAAAACCAAAAAAAAACTTCTTCAATCTGAAACTGATCAAACATGCAATCAAGATGTATTGATCATTACTGGAGATTGTAAATGCAAAGGTTGGAAACAAAGAGGAAGGATCAGTAGTTGGAAAATATGGCCTTGGTGATAGAAATGATGCTTGAGATTACATGACAGAATTCTGCAAGCTCAATAATTTGCTCACTTCAAATATCTTCTTGAGATAGCATAAAAGATAACTATACACATGGACCTCACCAGATGGACAACAGAAATCAAACTGACTATATCTGTGGAAAGAGTCTATGGAAAAGCTCCATATCATCAGTCAAAACAAGACAAGGGGCAGATTATGGAACTGACCATCAATTATTCATATGGAAATTCAGACTGAAGTTGAAGAAAATGAAAGCAAGTCCA